GTCTTTAAGGAACCTCTAATGGTTATTTTCATTACAATGTATTTCATCTTCTTTTTTGCAAGTGCCTTTGTAAACAACTTCTTAGAGTATGCTATCACACCAAGGTGATACCCAAGGAAACGAAGGCACTAGAAGCATTGTATGGTCTCTGCAGCCCAGAGCCACGCACAAAGTCTCCCTGCCATGCATTTTGCTCCCAGTTCTTGCAGGCAGTAACACTGTCAGCAGTCACTGCCCATTCATGGGAGAAAAGAACCCACCTAAAGTTTGCAATGGCAGTGGGCAGTGACACTCTTACCCTGCAACACAGCAAAGCCACTGGTCTCTCAAGCTTTCCAACAAACCTAAAAGCTCAGTTAGCCTTCCATCCCCACACATATATACAGACATGCAGGCTTTTGTTAAAAAACCAGGCATATAGTCAAGCTGCATTTCATTGCTCCTGTAGAGCGTTGACTGCTATTCGAGATCATTCACTTGCCAGAAGTTGGCACTGCAGCAGTCCCTAAAAATGCCATGGATCAGGTTTCTGGTCACATATAATAAGAGGAGTCAGTAGGAGGTTCAACAAAAGAGAACCAAAAACACAGAGAGGGATCGAGGGAAGGAGGGAGCAGGTTGCTTTAGGCTGTGCGTTAGGTAACACCTAGCAATTAGCTCATCTCAAGGCAGAAGCAAACAAGGGACCACAGGGAAGCCGTGTGTGTTTGCCATCCCCTGACAAGCACATCCATGGTGCTTTGAGCCATACACAAGGTGAGCTGAACAACTTACTGCAAGGTTCTGCAGACTACAAAGGTGAGTATGATCATCCCCTAGAAAGGCTGCAATTTTACACCACTCACTCATAGAGGTGATTGCTCGTTTGTTCCAGCTCTAGACATGCCATTTACAGGCACTAGTAGTTTAAGCATGAAAAAATCTACTATTTCTCCTGATCTGATAACTGATAAAACCAACCAATACATCCCCTTCATTGACATCTCACAATACTATCTAGCACTAAGCAAACATTTTGCTCCTTCACTAAAAGAAAGCAACATCTTCTGTACTGCTTTAGAGCAATTTACTTTACGCTCTGATAAGTCCATTTGTGGTCTCAATGAAATAGATGTTAGCATGTGAAGGACATCAGCAATTTACTAATTGAGAAGACTGAGAAGGTGAAAAAGATTGCTATTTCTACATCACCAAATCTTTATCGCTGTGGCCAAAACTGGAAGCTCAGCAAAACCATCTTAGAAAGAAGCCAAGAGCATGAGGGTCTCCTTGCAGCTGTTACTGAGCTGTCCAGAAAAGCAGCCTTCATAAAATGTCCAGCTGAAGCATTGTGAAATCAGCTTTCACAATGTCAAGTCATGTAATGGCTGACTGCAGGCAGGCAAAACCAAACAGTAGCACTCAAGCATCAATTTCCCTATTGTCCAGGCACACAGAGGGAGAAGGTAGCACATTCTAAGCAGTGACAGATGAACCTCTATTCATCACCACACTAGGGAAAAAACATCTGCTCTATCTTATCCCATGGTTACAAAGGTGGGACAGCCCAGGCCTATGCACCCATCGGTAGAGCAGTCCTTGAACTGGATGCTGTCTGTTATTCAAATGCTTTATTTCAAAACTTTTCAGGTTAGAATAACTAATAAAACATAAAGACCAACGAAGACTAATTGAAACCAATACTTTTTGCATCAGACAAAAAACATATAGGACTTCTGCACTACAACATAGCAGCCAGTATTCTTTTTAAAAGATCTTTCCTAGAATCTATGAATGATACATCATCACCTACTGCAAAGTGAAGTTCAAAAACAACAACGAAATTTAAGCTCTTCTCCAATCACATTGGTTTTGTCTCAGTTCAGCCTGAGTTAGCATTACCCCCTTACACAACTACTGAATTCCTGCCTTGCCAGGGCTCCCAAAGTTGGAAAGCATCTGTTCATACGAAGAGAACACATTGAGCAGTTTGTCTGTACTCAGGCAAATGACCAATTCATCATAATGCAGCTTAAAGGGCAGCATGGGGTCTTTTGTATCTTTTTGTTTGTTCACAAGTTCTTTTTTTTGCTGTTGTTTTCATTTAAAATAAAGATTTCTATATATCCATTTTAGCATGCGTTCAAACCACTTTCAGCTTTGGGACACACAATAGAACAACTAAGACAAATACAATTTAGACCTCACTTGAAACACTGATCAGGCACAGGCATCTGAGAAAAGTTAGAGGTCTTATCACTCCTTAAATGTATCTTCCTGGAATTCTAACAACTTTACTCTCAAGGTGCTAAATTTCAACAGTGACAATAATGAACAACTTATCTGCATGTACTTTACTGTATACATTAAGAAAAAAAAGTTATTTCACTTGCAGAAACTTACAGGTTACCTCTGCGACCTTCAGAGGTCGCAATGCATCTGCATAATGCACTAAATAAGGTAACAGCCTGCCAAAGTCATTCAATTTTCTAAATAGGTACTAAGTGCAGGCCTTAATTACCAGTACTTTCCATATTCACAAATTATGTAATAGGCCTGCCCAAGCAGATTTTCAAGCTGGAACTGCCTGAATGTAAGGCTGAGAGCAGCAAGAAAAAGAGAAATACCAGATGCAAAGAGTGGCACCTTCCATCCTTAACCAGAACAGCAGCCACAGGCCCCACGCTCAAACAGCTCCAAGACCAGCACATTATGTGGCCTGTTGACACAGGCATAGAAAATCTTGACTGGGTGTCATCTAACGACTCCATCACAAGGAGGCCTGTACCCCGATCTCTTGTAATCTGCTCAATATTAAATGTTTCAGTTGAAGCAATTATTCCACAATGGCATCCTCTGGTTTTCTCACCTCCACTTTTACTGTGATCCCTCGATATTCTAGACTCTTCCCAGACACGAGGGGTAGGAAAGAACACCCTCTGCATACATCCCTAAACTTTGGCAACAGTGCCCTTCACCTGTAGCAGTAATTATCACCACAGTGCTAAAAGAGCAGGGCAGAAAAACAGTTGGTTTAAGCTGTATAAGCATTTACCACTTACTGTGCTCAGCATACAAACAAGGAATGCGACTGGCACTACAACCCCATCCCCCAGACGTTCACACCTTATGACTATGCCAACTACAGTTCCTTATCTCACTTTAAAAAAAAACAAAAAAAACAAAAAAAAAAAAAAAAAAAACCAACCCACAATAAGGAACTGGTAACTAATTATCACAGCTGAACAGAATTCACTTCAGCACTGGATCAGTTTGATGTAACCATTATTAATGTGCAGTTCCAAAGCTCATCATGGGAATTTGGAAAATAATCCTACCTGTGAAAAACCCACATGTTCTTACACTGAAGATAAATTTAGACCATTTCATCTAGATATAAATGTTCTCAACTCACTGACATAGCTGCTATTACTTAAATAATCAGCCATCAGTTCTGATGGGGATGTAGCAGCTATGAAGATAAGCCTTTCCATATACAATGAATTGAGCTTGACAGTAGATGACAGGATCAGCACGGCAGCTGAAAAGCACTAATTCTGCTTATACTTTACCATTCTGACCACAAATACAAAAGACTTCCCATGTGATACAGAAATTACTGTACAGCTTGATATCTAAAGAGCTAGCATCAAGGGATGCACACAGTTCTGCTACTCCCTGGCATGTCTACCACTAAAATACTGCCCTGAGTCTAACAGCCCTTATTCAGTTCTTATTCTGCAAGTGCCAATGTCATTAAAGATGGTTGAACAGGATATCAGACTGCCGAGAGTGCTAGGTTTTGCTATAAGATATCAGTACCTTCTGAATACTCTGTACAAGAACACTGGTTCACCTACATCTTACCTCACCACAAATACAGCTGTGTAAGAATCGAATTAAGGTTCCAAACATACTCCTTTTCTTGTTGCAAACGTTGCTCACCGGTTCTTAATGACACATAGGACAGGCAAGCTTAAAGGACACAGGACATGAGCACACTCTTCACACAGTGTCCTTTCCTCCCAAAACAGTGAGAAGAAAGCTGCTAACCCACCACAAAGGCTAAGCTTCCACCTCAGATGACAGCCGTAGCTACTGGACAACAGGAGCTATGAGGCTCACGCTGACCACACTGGAGATGTTTCCCTCAGCAGTGCTGAGTACCATTAGACAGACACGTTTTCTACCTTCTGTCACAACTGCGGTCCCGGTGGGCACGGTGCTGGCACCGGGCCCCCGATTGAGAACTCCCACCACAAGAGGTGAGGCAAGGGGACGCGGGCACGGAGCAGTATCTCCCCATCCCAACCCGGGCTGCGGGGCACAGGGCAGGTGCACCTCATCGCGAGGGCACGCCGTGTCGAACGTACGCGTGCGGATCGGGGCAGAGCAGCGTGCTGGGGCTCCGGCCGGGCCCAGGAGGGCCGCAAGTTGCTCGGGGCCGGGGAGCCGCGTCTGAGGGGCTCGGGGGGCTGCCGCCGGGGTTCTACTCGCGCCCCAGCGAGACCGCAGCGGCTGCGAGCGCCGGGGCTCGCCCTGCCCGCCGCCCAGGCCCGCGGGCAGCCCACCGCACCGAACAAAAGGCCCGACCGATGCTCGGAGACGTCCCGCCTGCCCGGGGTATGAGCCCGCAGCCCCGGGCCTGCCGCCGCCGCTGCCCCTCGTCGCCGCGGCGGGATGGCCGCCGGGGGAGACGGATGCGGCGCAACGGCTCCGGCAGCGCCGGGGGAAGGGGCGGCACAAAGGGGCCGGCGGCAGCCCCTACCCCGCCGCTAACAAAGCTCCCGGCCCGGGGGTCGCGCCGCCCCCGCTGCGGGGCTTCCATCCCGGCGGGGCCGGGGCTGCGGGCGGGGGCAGCCGCGCCCCACGTCCGGAGGGGCCCGGAGGGCTTTCCCACCGCCGCACCCCCCCCCGCCATCTCGGCCCCCCCGAGTCGGCCGCCCGCACGACGCAGCCACCCGGGGCTGCGGCACAAAGCGGGCCGGTCCCGCCGCCGTCGTCCCCCTCCCCGCACCGACCTTGAGCCGCCTCCGGCGCCCCTAAGGTTTTGGTCACCGCCTTCCACACGTTGCAGCCCAGCAGGCAGAGGAGAAGCGCCGCCGACCTGCTCATTTCCACCCGCCGCCGCCAGCCGCCGCCAGGGAGGAAAGCGCCGCCGGAGCCGCTGCCCGGAGGAGGAGGAGGAGGAGGAGAAACAGCCGCATCAGGGGCCGGCCCGCTCCGCGCCTCCCTCCATGTTGCCGCGCTCTGCCCCTCCTGCTTTCTCCGCCCGCCGCATTGTCGCCCCGCCGCGGCTCCGCGGCCCGCGCTGTCCCCGCAGGCCGGGCAGGAGGGAGGAGAGGTGGGAGGGCCCCACTCCGTGCCGGGCGCGATTATTTCATTTCATTTTTTTCCTCCTCCTTTTTTCCGCCCCCCTCCCTCCCGTCGGGGCAGCCGGGCTCTGCCGCCCGCTCCTTAACCCTTCGCGCAGCCCCGCGCCCCGCCGCGCGGCCCGGCACCACAGCGCCCCCTGCCGGCCGCTCCGCGCACCTCCAGCCGAGGACCGCGCTCCCCACCCCGCTGCCAGCAGCCCCCCCAGCTCCGCACCCTGCGGCTCTACGGCCCGGCACCCCCCGCGGGGCAGACCGCCCTCCTGCCAGGTGCTGCGTGCTTACCTGCCCGGGGCAGGAAGAGGGGGCGGCTCCTGCCTGGCCGCGCAGCGCCGCCGCGTTCCCTCAGCAGCTGCAAAATGGCCTCCTCGGCGGCACTGCCCCCCGCTGCAGCCCGGCAGGGGACGAGGCGGGCGTGATGGCTCACGGGGGCCCGCGGGACCCACGGCCTGCCCGCCTGTTGCAGGAGAAGCGCTTTTTAAAACAAACAAACGCAATAGCAATCGAAGACCCACCGAGAATGAACGTATCTACTGTTTCTGCTCTCAAAACTGATTAAAAAAAAAAACTATTACAAAGAGGGGCGAGAAAGGAAGGGCGAGTGGCTGCAGAGCAGATGCCGAAGGCTGAAGTTGTAGTTCTGCTCCCTCTGGGCCACAGCCTCACAGAGCCCTGGGGATGCAGCTCAGGAGATCGCGGCTGTCCCTCCGAGGCTCCCTCACCGGTTTGCATTACTCCATCCCTCAGAGCATCCTTTGGTGCACTTCTTCTCCAGGAGACAGAATACAGTGCCGCAGCACTCACTTCTTTCTCCCTGGCTCTGCTGAGCATTGTGCTTCCTTGGGGAGCCAGGGCAGAGCTCCTCATGTTTCCTCACCCCTGTCAGGGACAGCTATTATGGAAGGGCTTTACACAGCTGTGCAAAGCAAAGCCTCAGCCCTGTGGCTCGAGGCTTTCCCATGATCTGGTCCCTGTGCTGCCAACACTTCAGTTTGCCTGTACAGCTAAAGTCTGTGTACCCTCACAGGAGCATCTCGTGGCTTCAGGTTTTACTTGTAACATAATTCTAATTTTAAATGAAATCTATCATAAAAACGTGCTATGTATTTATTTGTAGAAAGCAATACAGTCATATACTACTTCACTGTTTAACCAGAGTAGCTACACCACAAGCTGAAGGCTGCTCCTTTTCTGAATTTTGTGGAACTCATTTCTCAGATGTGATACAGCTGACTTAGCAGTGCTCAGATATATTCCATTTTGTTGAAGAGAAGCTCCAATTGATCATAATATATTTTACCCTAATTTTATTCTTAAGTTGTTCAAATGCATCATCTTAGATTTGAGAAACATTGTGTAGACATCACAATCCTTTTTTTGCTGTTTTTTTTTTTTTTTTTTTCCTTTCCAATAATTTGAAAGATTTATTTGTAAAACTTGGTCCTATGAGAGAAGTAGGTACAGAAAGGCAATTCCATTCAAAGAAAAGAGCAAATGAGCACATACAGGTCATCTGACCTAACTCCAATTTATCATAAAACAAAGACTTCAATATCATATTATCACATCCGGACTGAACAGCATGGTCTCAATAGCCCGAAGGATTTATAGCCTGGGGACTATTAGTCACTGTGACACATTCCTTCATAAAGAACAAAGTTGGGCAACATGGTTTAAAACAAACAAACAAACAAACAAACAAAAAAGCACTTAATCTACCATCTTTGGACACCCGTGGAGCTAAATTAAGCAAAAGTAAGATGAGCTCGTAGCTTGAGAGTTATGCACAAGATTTCTCTGTCCCTGAGGAAAGCTAGACCAATTTGTTACAATGAACTAATGTTCTATTATTTTCATAGTAAACTGGCAGTACAGCCTTTGCAACATCAGTTGTTGACTATTCCAAACAAAACTATTATGGCTATATGAAAATAACGTTGGTTTAAATTTAAAGTAAACTCAAAATCATCTCAAAGGTGTTATTCCACCAAAAAACTACCATCCTCTGTCTCCAAGTTATCCATTTCAATAAATTACTACAGCTGCACATCGAAAATAAATAAACAGGATAGGAGTGCTTTTCCAGATCTGATCAGTATGTCTGCTTAGTTGTAGTAATGAAAACAGCTTTTAAGTATTACGTAAAAAATGCTTCACTTTCTGCAGAGCAAAACTTAGCAACATTCAAGTCTTTGCAAGAGAAAGTTGAAGGAGGGCGGAAAGTACTTCTGTGAAGTATTCTATGAAGCTGGATGTTTATTATTAGGGTTCATTCATATTTTGCTAATTTTGCTGTCAAATGCTGGCACTGAATACTTCATAATAATTGGGGCTGGAAAAGAGATGGGATATTTTACCAAGAAATAGTGTATTGCACTGAGTTTTGTCCAGAATTTACATCTACAAAAACAAAAAGCTCTTTACATAGAGCTTGATCATCTTTTTCAAAAATAGAAATACCCACTTCTTCGCTAGGAAACAAATAGTTGTTTCAAGATTCAGCTATGGCTGCATTTGTTCACTTGGCCCATTGTGCAGTGAATTTACATTTCAAGAAAAGGAAGTTTCCTATTTCATAGTAAAAGTTACAAGTATAATGAAAGGTTAACTTTGTTTTTCAGTCCTTGCTGTCTTCCTGTAAAGAAGACAGACATCTCGAAGCCACTTACTGAAGCACTTTCCCCTCTCTTGTGGCTGTAAGTTGAGAACTACCACTCTCTGGAATTGGAGAACTCATTGGAATTCTAGACTGCTTTTGCCTTACTGCGTTGCAATTTTTTGCCTGACTTGATTAAGCTACTTTAAAGTTATAAAAGTTGGATCAGAGGAGTTTCAGGTTGGGTATTAAGAAAAATTTCTACCAGAAGAGTGAAAGAGCATTGGAACAGGCTTCCCAAGGGAGCGGTGGAGTCACCATTCCTAGAAGTTTTCAAGAAAGCTGTATGTGTCTCATCTAGTGGTGGCGAGTTGATGTTTGGACTACATGATCTTAGTGGTCTTTTCCAGCCTTAATGGCTCTATGATTCTATAAAGTCAACTTCATTAGATCAGTGCTCTCACAGCTTTGAGGTTTTATTTAGCCTGGGAATACAGCTTACCTGTGTGAACTACATGGCTAAAGAATGTCACTGAATGCTACCACTTTGCAGAAGCCAATTAGGTATGAAGAAAGGACTTTTCACCAAGTGTTTATTCACTCTCATTTTTAAACAACATACAAGTTAATTTGTAGATATTGTGAAATATTCGACTTAATGATAACTATTCAGAGGATGAAAAGAAAACCGGTGTTTTTCATTGTATCCTCATAAGTAATTTGACCTACTGAGATGAGATGCAGATACCTGATCCTAATTAGGCTATGCAGATTTTAAAAACTCAACCGGCATATTCATTACCACATAGTGCCTACATTAGCTCTCTTACAGAGCTACACTTATAGACTACGCTGTGCACACAGGACTTGTCTCTTTCCGAAATAAGTTAGATACACATATAAATATAGTTATATGGTAGCACTCTCATATATGCACCCATTCATGTCATGAAACAGACCTAGTCTTCCAAATCTTGAGTCTGTCCTTCCACCCTTGTTTCAGTGAGCACTGAAGCATCTAATACTAACATATTGTTAATGCCATTGATTTCTGAATGAATACTCTCTGTGACATATGAGATAGCTCATGTTTAAGAGCTCAGTTTAATTCCTTTTCATACTTAAGCAAATATCTATTATGCTCCAGTCTTGTCTTTATGCCTTTTTTTTCCCCCTCCAGTACCTGTTGGCTGGATGTCTTCAAAAGAAAAAATGAACCAATTAACTGCAGCTTGAATAAATAATGCAGGACAGATGTAAATAATATTTGAATACAATAAAATACCCTGAGACAGGTTTCACTGAGATCTTAGCTCTAATTCTTGCTGTTTCTGTTCAGAAAGGATATTTGAGCTCTAGCAGTGGTGGTGCAGTGGGGCAGGACGGCTAGATCTATTCCTATCCCATGCCGGGAAGGAAAAATTCCCCTTTCTACAGCATTGTGTATTTCTCCAGTCTAAGCTGAGGCTACACATTATATGTTTTCACATTGTATGAACAAACACCTTTCTAAATAGTTGAGCATTCAAGTCTTGCGTACTAATGTACTCACATGATTAGTTATTACTGAAGCTGTCAGTGCCAGGCATCAGAACACAAGTACTCAAAGAATGTCCTGGAGTATGTGCTTCACTTTGAGTTTAGGCTTAGAGTTAACACTTTCAGTATTCTATGGTGAGTAGTCTCAGAGATGCTTTGGAATGGCATGTTGAACATGCTTATACAAAAAACAAGGTGATTAGTTATTTTCTCTCCCACATCTTCTAGCACATTTTTTTTCAGGTGACAATGTCTGAGCAATGCTCACACAGCCAATGACAAATCCATAATGTATTAACAGTTAAATATTTTCCACGTATCAAGTAAGTTCAATGATCCAAAAGGTACAAATATTTGTCATAAATGCAAGAAAGGCTACCCAGCCTTTCTTATTGGCAGTACCAGTCTGTGCATTTGAGAATGGCTTTGAAGTATTTTTATCATTTCTAGCAGAGTTGCAGTTTACCAGTGTGCAAGTTACCTTACACATGCAGGATCTCACAAAACTAATCTTAAAAAAATAAAGTGAAAGTCTGAATACAAAGCCCTGAAAAGTATTTTGCAATGCTCCTGATAAGTGGAGCCAACTACTGATTACTCATCATTTTCACTTGGACTCTCT